CAGAAAGGACTTCTATGCATTTGCTGAACACTGTATAGGAGCGTCTATCCAAGTGGCAGGCCTGAGCTAGGTGCTCCATCACTGTACAGAGTAACTGAATAAATTTCAAATTTTTCCTCAGAGAAGTCCAGCCAAGAGAGATGTTGTGTTTTTCCTAGCAACTGTTGTTAGGTGATGCTGATGTTGTTTATATTTGCTAAGCACAGTTTGTGTACTTCCTCCTCCCCAAAACACACACACACACACACACACACACACACACACACACACACACACACCCCTAGGACAAGTTTTCCCAAATGTGGTATATTATCAGGTACATGAGGACACCTACGAAAGACATGAATATTTTGCCCCACAGCCAACACGTAGTGAATCAGAATTTCAGAGGTGTGACAATTTAGTTTTAATAAGCAACCCCAGGTGACTCTGATGGAATAGGAGGCAAAATTTGTAAATGGGCTATAGAAACCACCCAGGTTGAAACAAAAGTCTAGGACATAAAAGAAGAAAAAAAATCCCACAATTCCTTCAAGACCCCCCATGAACACATTTGCCAGACTAACACATACTCTACTCTCTCACCATTCTAATTCTCTGCCATTTGTCCCACCTTTCCTGAAAATAACCACTGCTGAACTGACACCTCCCCTCACCCACGTTCATGAAGGGACACCAAGTCCTCCTTCCCAAATCAAAGATTCTTCCTTTCTCAGGACCACAAAGCACCCTGACAAAGCTACCCACCAAAAAACACAAAGTTTCCTGCAAGTTGTCATTTTAATTTCACTGCACCTACCTATATGCAAAGGAATTTCAAGCCTTAGTTTACATGTTGGTGGGAAAAGAAAAATCCTAAAGCTTGTGTCTACCGAAGTATTTTGACCATAATTCCCTGAAAATCTTCTGCAGGGTCCTTCCTGGCACTTTGACACGTGATGAGATTCATCAGAGAAAGAAAGTTTTCATTCTCCTCTAAAATGATGCATATAAGATGAAGACGAGAATCCTGCAGATGTGAGGGAGCTGGGAATCTGCTCTCTGCACGGACTTCAAAAATGAATGCAGTATGAGACCTGTAGAAATCTAAACCTTAAAGGAGGAAAGAAATCTAAAAACAAATGGCTTTAAGACAATAAGGTAAATAAGGACAAAGTCACATGTTGGGAGCCCCAAAGAAGAGATGGGATTAAAGCAGAGGTGATGGCTAATTTTATCTGTGGGCTTGGCAAGACCACAGTGCCCAGGTATCTGGTCAGGTAAGTGTTTTCCAGATGACATTAGCACTGAAGTCGGCAGACCTTGAGTAAAGCTCATTGCTATGGTTTGGGTCTAGATGTCCCCCCAAAGCCTCATGTGGTCATAGGATTGATCTAGAGTGTATGAACCTGGAATTGATTCATGATGCAGTGCTAGGCTCAAGGGCACTAGGATTAAGGGTGTGAGCACGACCCTCCCTAAGTAGTCTGAATAAGATAAAAGGGGCAGAGAGACACTGTTCACTCTCTGGTTGCCTTTGCTGCCTTGTATGCACCATGTTGTTTCTGCTCTGCCATATCTGTTTGCCATCCCTGCCTTGGAGCCAGCTGATTATGGACTGAAACCTCTGCAAACTGTAAGCCAAATAAACCCTCTAACTTCCTCTCTAACTTTGGGTGTTGGGTATTTTGTCTCAGCGATGAGAGAAAAGTAACTAACACACACTACATGATGTGACTGGGCCTCATCCAATCAGTTAAAAGTCTTTAAGGGAAAAGAAACAAATTGCCCCCCAAAAGAAAAGACTCTGCCTCAAGTCTGTCCTCAGACTCCAGCTGCCTCATCAGGTCTCCCAGAGCCTCTAGCCTGATGATGTATACTCCCGAGGCAGACAACTGCCCAGGCCGAAGCCCTCAGTCTTCAATAGTTGTGAAACTTGGCAGTGTCATTTAACCACCCCACGTCTCAGTTTCTTCATCTGTAAATGGGAATGAAAAGGTGATTCTAAGACACAGGGGAGTGAATATTCATAAAGCACCCATTCCACAGTACAGGTCACTCATGATTTTCGTGTAAAGCCCCATGCTTTGAATCTTCTTTCATCTCCTGATGGCCAGCACACAGTCAGGCTGAGTTTATAACTAAGAAAGACTGCATCCATCTATACAACCCAAGGCAAGCCCAGCTGTCCACACACCTGGGAGCCAGGCTGGGCCAGGCAGAGCCCCTCTCTTTGCAGGGCAAGTGCCCAAGAGCGGGCAGGCCTGAGACACAGACAGACAAAGAGCGAGGGAAAGGCTAGATGCAACCCCACTCTGGACAGGATCCAGCTCGAGTCACAGTTGGACAGGATGTCCAACTTCGATCTGCTTGCTCATGAGGCATTTCTCTGGCTTCTTGTAGCAGCTGGACAACTGGGGTCTTTGCTGAGCCCCAGTCATTCCTTTTGCTATGGTTTGGATGAGTGCCCCCCCACCAAATCCCATGGCGCTATAGAGTGGTGGAAGCCCTAAGAGGTGGGGCCCAGTGGGAGGAAATGACGTCACTGGGGCACAGCCTGGCAGGGGATGTCAGGATCTGGCTTCTTCCTCTCTCTCTCTCTCTCTCTGCTTCTGGGCCACCATGGCTTGAATACTCCCACCGTGATGTACTGTGCTCCAACAGGCCCAAAGCAAAAGGTCGAAACAACCACAGACTGAAACTTCTGAAACCGTGAGCCAAAATAAATCTTTCCTCCTTTTAAACAAATTCTCTCAGCTGTTTTGTCATAGTGATAGAAAGGTGACTAAAATATCCTGTGACTGTCATGCTGGCCAATCCAGTATTTGTCTGTTGCCCGTAATGTGTCCAGTGATGCTGACCCGCCTGGTATTAGCCTTGCAAGGCAGGAACAGAAGTATTGAGAAGGTGTGAGAGCTGACCAGAGGGCTCGGCAGCATCTTCAAAATCAAGGACAGAAAGGACAGCACCCCAGAGGGCCAAATGGGGGAAAAGGGCCAAAAATGGGATTGTCACAGAAGGCAGGGCTGTGTCCTGGAAAACGCAAAGTATGGACAGCTGAGCCTTAAACCTCGAGTTCAAAAATCTGAGTCTGCAGCAAACAGGGAGCCTTTGGAGGATTTTTGGAATAAGACCAGATGATTAAAACCACACTCTAGGAAATATTCTACGTCTTAGAAGGACTTAAGCCAACAATACAGGCAACACAGCAATGGTCAAGAAACCAGGCAGAATCCTTGCTCTGTCATGTACAAGCTAGGTGAGAAGAGAGCACAACTTGCACTATTAAAGGACGCTGCTTCCTTCTCTGTACATCAGAGACACTAAATGTTTATCTTCTGCCATTCCCGTCAGGATAAGATAACATGCAAAAGCTTGCAAGAGTACCTTGTCTATGGTAACCACATATCAGCAAGCAAAATGAGCCGCAGCGACAGCAGAATTACATCACACACCTGTGTCTGCCACTACCTGAGAAAGGTGCAGTGCACACGCAGAGCAATGCGGTGGTCAGAGTATACGCCCAAATCCTTACAGACGTAAAAGCTACAGAAGAGAAATGTTATTGAACTGAATCGTCTAACTCTTGTCAGAAAGAAGGATAAACTCAGAGACCCAGAACTCACTCTGCCCGACTGATCTTTGAGTAATATTTTTCTTGTAAAATACAAACTTCATCAAAAAAAAAAAATCTCAGCTTTCAAACAAGCCTCCCTTTGCCCACAAAAAAAAGTCACATCAAGGGTCATCTAACTTCGCTAGGCATCCGACACTAGTGAAAACCAAGAACAAAACAAAAAGTTTTTTAAAGCATATGGAAGTTTATGCTCAAGTCCTCACAAAGCCAATTTATCTTCATTTTAGACATATTTAACAACACACAAATACTTGAGCACCTACCAGGTGCCAGGCTTTTAGCTTGGTTATGTGAATTATTGGCCACTAGCAATTTAGGGACAGCTACTTAGGAAAAACCAGAGCAGGGACAGTGGGAATGAACAAAGTAGACAAGGAACAAGCCTGCTACAGAAATGCTGTAAGAGTAAGAAAAACAAAAAGAGGATGGGGGGAAGGAAGATAAGACAGGGATCCAAAAGGCAGGCCCAGAAAGCAATTAGCAAAACATCCATGGAGAAAAGAACAAATTTTTAAACAAGGATAAGTGAATGAGGTTCAGGTCATTCTTCCTGCCCAAAGAGCAGAGACCTTCCGGCAAGTTCTTTCCTTCTAGCATAAAGAGGAAGCCCTCTCCACCCAAGGCTGCACATAGGTGCCACCTACTCACTGAAGTTAACCTAGGAGATGAAATCTGCTTGTTTTTCCCACTTTTAGATATTTTCCTCACTCTCAACATTGTTGTTTATAGATCAGGAGCCCTGTGTTGCTGCTATTTATATTGTGCCCATGTTGTGGCTTGTATCTAGATGTTCCCCCAAAGCCTCATGAGCTCATAGTGGGGCTTTTCGGATCTTGCTAGATCTAGGGAGTGTGGTAGGGGATTAAGGGTGTGTGGTACAGAAATTAGTGCACCTTCTGGAATTAGCATAATTCTGTGTGTAGGAGAATGGATTTACTGAAGCCTCATCCTGGGAGTGGATAGCACCACCCAACAGGCTTGTAGCCTGGATGGGATCAAAGGGAAAGGCAGGCTCGCTTCTGCTGCAGCTTGCTGTTTTCTGCTTGCTCTGCCGTGAACTGTTTCTCCTCTGTGATGCCCCTCTGCCACACTGCCCGGCTTTGGAGCCAGGTGACTGTGGACTGAAACCTCTACAAACCTGAGCTAAAATAAACCTTCCCTCCTTTAACTTTGGGTGTCAGGTATTTTGTCCCAGCAGCAAGAAACATAACTAAGCCCCTAAATGATGAACAATGCTGGTACTATTTTTGGCACAGTCTGCCTGACACAGGGACATGAGTACAGCAATTTGGACTGACTGCCCATTTTGCCACTAAAAGAGTTAACTTTCCTCTAACTGGGACACACTGACATCAAGTAAAAGAAGGAAACATTTCCACCAAACCTTGATTCTCTGAATGCTGACAATTGCCTCTGAGCCTCTCTCAATGGCTGCAGGGAAGAAGAGGGTGACGGTCAGCCGCACAGCCCCGTACAGGGTCATTGCCACAAACACACGGCTGGCTGTGATCTCGTGGCCAAGCAGCACGTAGCAGGTGAAGGTTACAAAGAGGATGATTTTGTTGGCAACAAAAAACGAAGCCAAATTCATCCCTCTGAGGTAGGAACTTCTCAGAACCTTGGAAATTTCCTTCCTGGAAAAAGAAGCACACAGGTTTTCACAGAGCACCGACATCAAAGTTATGAAACCAACTGCCCTGTGCAAGGCAGGAGACACCCATTAAGATGAACCGCCTGTGAGGTCAGGGGATATTGTTAGCACATGGCCTGCCATCAGCCTCCACACAAAGGCCACACAGAACATGGATCAGCATTTCACTTGACCACCACAGGATGCTCAAGGCACAGTGTAACACTCTGTGCCTTTGAGCAGGCAGTCAAATTCACTCAACAGACATTTGTAAACCTAAGTGCTGGCCCAGGCACCTCCTTGATGACAGAGAAATGAGTGAAACACAGGCTGTTCCCTCCAGAGGCTCAACAACTTCTGGGAGAAGAGAATAAGCAACCCCCCAAGCATGAGACTCCAAGATATTGGATGGCACGAAGTGGCTCATGGCGGCATGGAGATGAGGTGGTGGCTGGGAATGGTGGATGGTGGGGCCAGCGAGAAGGGCCACAGAAGACTGAAAGAGTGCATTCAAACCCAGGGAGCCACACCTACAAAGGTGCACAAAAGACAGGTGGCCAGTGCCACCAGAGAATTACAAGTCTCATCTGCTGGAAATACAAAAACCTAAAAAAAAAAAAAAAACCCTCATCAAATATTTATGTCAAAAGCCAAAACAAAATTTTCACAATATAAAGCAAAACAAAAGGAATGGCATTTCCATAGCTGCTCGGAATGAATAATACTCATTCATATCATTTGGCTCAACCTGGTACAGACAATCTCCATAACCTTCCCATTTGGCTACATTGATAGAAATTAGTTTTATTTTAAATGCAATATTCTCAAATATTTACATCCTGGAATCTCTGCTTATTGGGGATTTGGAAAATTCAGAAACACCTGGGACTTCCTCCAAATGTTCCCACTAAGAAGCACGGATCTTTCTTGCTTTAAGGAAATGGCAAATGGAGGTCCAAGTTAAAATGATGTCATGTCCTATGCATTCTACTTAATCTTAGTACCATAAGCGGGGGTGTTGTGGATCATAATAAAGTCCATTCTGTTATGAAAACATAATAAGACTTCCAAATTCGGGCTGGGGATTTAGCTCAGTGGTTTCGCCACCTGCTGCACAAGCAACAAGGACCCGAGTTCGATCCCCGTTACCAAAAAAAAAAAAAAAAAGACTTCCAAACTCCTTCAGTAAAAATAGAAAAGAGAAAAACACAGTATAGTATGACGTACACAAAAACTCACCTTCTCAAACTGGTAATAAGGTCTGCAAACGACTTTTCCCAGGCATACATTTTGATGATCCTTATTCCGGTTATAACTTCATTCATGCTCCTGATCCTGGCATCTGTGAAGGCTGCAGTTTTACTCCTAAGGGGACAGATGAGAAAGATGAGCCACAGTGATGGCAGCCTACCTTTCCTTATCAGCAGCGGGCACAGGCACCGTGTGAGGATCAAATAATTCCCTACAGCTCCTGGCCGCTTTTTCGCTCTGACCACACAGGCAGATACACTCCTAATACAAATGGGAAAGGCTGCAATTAAGAAGCCCACAAGTCATTCCAACTCCAGAAGTACTTTGGAGCATTTGCAATGTTTGCAGAGGAAGATGTGAAATGCATGGGGGGCAATCAACCCATCCCCGAGGGACGCTCAGGTGGGAGGGAAGGAAGCTCAATGGCAAGCAAGGCTCCTGAATCTCCAGTGACGCACTGGCAGAGGTGGGGCAAAACATGAACCAACTACTATGGAGCAGCAAGCAACAGAGAGGAAATTCCGAGCAGAGAAAACACCAGGAACAGACACGAAAGTGAGAGCTCAAACATGTAACAAACACCACAGCACTTCTACCACTTACCCATCATTTTTTGGGTTTTATTTATTTGCTTATTTATTTATTTATTTATTTAGTACTGGGGATTGAACCCAAGGCCTTCACAATGAGCTTCATCCCAAGCCCTTATTTATTTATTTTTATTTATTTGTTTATTTTGGTACCGGACTCAAACTCACGACCTTGCACTTGCAAGGCAGGCGTGGTGCCATTGAGCTAAATCCCTGGCCCAAGCTCTTATTTATTTTGAGACACATCTCCTGAAGTTGCCCGGGCTAGGCTAGAACCTGTGATCCTGCTGCTTCGGCCTCCCAGAATGGTAGGATTATAGATATTTGCCACCACAACCAGCTTCTCATCTGCTGATTTTGACAGCGACTCACTTCCAATTCTTAATACACTAAGTCCCTGATTTACGAAGGTTTGAGTTGCAAAAATTCACAGATACGAACGGACCTCACGTTATGGACATTTGTACATGTGAACAAATCGCAGGAGTAGCTTACACGTCTACCTCGCCATTTTAAGGTAACTGTCAGAATAAAAATAGCTTATTTACAGTATTTTTGTGTGGGGGGTTTTTATGCTTTACACTGTGTATTTGTGTCAAAGGTGTATGAGACTTCATTTTGTCAGGCTTACAAACGAATCCGACTTATGAACGTTCTCAGAATGGAACTCATTCCTAAGTCAGGGACAGTACCTGCTTCAGGTCTAAGTCATTTTATAATTAAGCCCTTCATCAACTGCCATTTTTCTAACATACATGCTTCAAGGGCCACAAGACTAAAGATGTCTTTATAAAGACATCGTTAAGACTGACCCTGTCCTTGGGGGGTTTATAATTTAATGGAAATACAAAACTGAAAACAATACACATGTATACACACAGGAAAATATCTTGAACACAAATATAACAAAAATCTATGGAGACAGGAACAGGATCTGGGAAAAGTGGGAGAGGGGAGGGTAAGAGGAATAAATTGCATCTGGTCCAGATGCAATGTGTGTATGTACCAATTCCCCAAGATGGATGTAATTATTATATATTTCAAATATATTTTAATAAAAAATTTAAATGTATGCAGTTAGAATCAGGCCTAGAAAATGTTTGAGTTTATTATTACTTTATATGTGCTTAAATAACTTCTCTGTATGTAGTTTCTGCTTAGAAATACTGTACTTGCCAGGGATTTAGCTCAGTGGCTCCGGTGCCTGCCTCGCAAGCCCGAGATCCTGAGTTCGATCCCCGGTACCAAAAAAAAAAAATACTGTACTTAATCTTAATGAACCCATGGTGGCCAGAAAGCTATCTGGGAACAGCCGGAGAGTACCTTCAGTTTCTACTGTAAAACTAGCCTTCGACTCACAGCGGGAGCCCCACTGGCTGAGCCTCAAGAGCCTGCAACATATGCAAAGATGAGATAATAAAAGGCACTTGTTTTGCTTCTGAACAAAAGCATCTGACAGATGGGGGATGCCACCAAATACATAGGACATAGTTTTCAAACCAGTATTTCTCTTACCGCAGTGATGAAAACAGCTTCCCAATGCAGCTTTGCAAAGGCAGAAGAATGATCAGAACCGCCATCCCAGCAAGACACGATATTCCTATTTCCATCCAGAGAAGGGCAGTTACTGCTATGGCCTGCAGTGGTCCCGCCCACAGAAAGTGCAAAAAGATCGTCACCTTGGAAGAAAAAGGTGAGTACTTAGGACTGTGTAAAAATGAAACCAGCAAGCACGCGGCACAGAAACACTCTGCTCCCAAAGAAGAGAGGAGAACTCAAACAGACAAGCCTGCAGCAGGTTTTAAACCTGGGGGGGCCACAACTGTGAGTGTCCACCCGAGAGGCTGCCCCAGGCAGCCCGGGGCAGGCTCGGGACCTGTGTTACAGGGCACTTGGCCTTGGCGATGGAGGGAGATGAGGACCTTCCCTCTGAAATCCCTCAGCCACAAAACTGAGCCCCAGCTCCTCAGGAAGCCCTGTGTCCACCACACTCTCGGTCACATTTGTCTCCTACACAGGTTGCCAGCTTCTTCAGGGCAGAAACTGAATCTTCTTAATCCCCCACACCAAGAAGAGGAGTGGGGATCTGGGTTTGGTGAATAAATAATTGAAAAAGAAGTGGTCCCCACGCAACAGAGGGCTCAACAGAAGCCAGAGTGCCCCAGATCACATAATACAGCCTGAGTTAAGTAGAGAATATGGCTATGGCAACAGAGGAGGGCGGGTCATTTCCAGCTAGGACCACCAGTGTGGCACTGTTTATCAAAGGGGTCCTATGGACCAGCCACCAAACTGGGGACTGGGAAAAGAGCTATCACCACCCACCAGGATTCAATCCTCGAGAAAAGGAGAAGGACAATTTAGCCAGCCATGTCCTCACCCCATGCTGAGTGCTAAGGAGGAGGCATCCACAGGAGACACGCCTGTGGTTGCCAAGGAGGACAGAACATGGTCCTCGGCCTATTTATTTTGGAGGTACGTGGTAGGCAACACTGGAAAAACGCAACTCCCACCTACAGGATAAACACACAGTACTACATCTAAGCTGCACACAGAAGTGAGATGCAGATAAAAGGAGCCCTGTCTTACCTCCTCAGAAGAATCCTGCTCTGCACCCCAAACTTAGCATTCCAACAAGGTAAGCTAAGGGGCAAAGGGTGAAAATGAACCCCTCATGTGCAGCTCACCTGATCAAACTTGTTCACATCATTGGACAGCAGGTTGACTATCTGGCCTGTGGTTGTCTTCCCCAGCGCCACGTTACTAAGACGAAGTGCCTGAAATAGAAGAGAACAGCTGGGGAGTGCATTCCTAAAGAGACGCTATGGCATGCCTGAAAGAGCAAACCCCATTTCCATGGGGGTCTCATGTGATATAAAGGCCAAAGTGACTTTAACAGTGGCTCTAAAAGCAGGCCTCGGCAGCTGTGTCCTCCAAGGACAGCTTAACTGAGACAGTAAAGAGCAGGACCCTGATTCTAACATAAAGGAACAGTCTGAGAAAATCCAAAGAATGTTTAAATTATCTATTCACAATAAGAGCTGGGAATGTAGCTGCTCAGTGGTAAAGCACTTTCCTAACTTACGCAAGGCTCTGGGTTCAATCTTCAGTAGTGCAAAAAGAAGGAAAAAAAAAAGAAACACCAAACACTATTTTTCCAGGAGTGGCAATGCACACCAGTAACCTCAGCACTCAGGAAGCTGAGGCAGAAGGATCACTGCAAGTTTGAGGCCAGCCTGGGCTACATAGAGAGTTCAAGGCCAGTGAGACCCTGTCTCAAAACATTTTTTAAAAACCACTGGGATAAACTGGAATGCCAGGAAGGTGGTGCATCTAAAGATCCCACTGGAGAGCCACGGCCACGCCCGCGGGCTAAGTTCAAAATGGAAGTAGCTGGTCCACGGCTGAGATGCATTAGAGGGGCAGCAGATCCAATTCTGACAAGATGGTCAGCCAGAAGCAAAACTCAATCCCTCCACCCCACTCTGTAATATATCAGTCACGACATTCAACACAGCAGAATAGATACTACACATGCAAAGACACACATTAAAAACGTGACCCATGCCGGGGATTTAGCTCAGTGGTTCTGCCACCTGTCTCACAAGGACCCAAGTTCGATCCCCGGTACCAAAAAAGAAAAGAGAGGAAAAAAAAAATGTGACCCGTAACCGACAGAAACAGACACTGAGATGATTCAGGAACTAGGAGAAAGGAAATAGAAAGCAACAGGAAAGCTTTTGGCTTTAAACATTTCACAATAAAAAGAAAGTAAATATAAAGTTGATAATCTAAGATTCTGTCTAAAATCAGAGAAGTAAAAACAACAAACGCACTCTGTCCACACCTCCGGAGGGGCATTTAGTGTCAGCATTCTGGGCACACAGATGCTGCCGTATTTAGTTACAATAGCATGATACAAGTACAGCTCCCATTTAATGAGCATCTACCGCAAGCCAGATGCCAGAACAGGAAAACAATTTCACAAAGTGAGAATTACTCCCATTCTGCAGATAAGAAAATGCCTGCCTAAGAGAGAACAGGCACTCAACAATTCTTTTTAAATGAAGCAATGCTTCCTCAATAATGTAGAAAATTAAATTTGGTATATATTTCATAGTTTAAAATAGTTCATGTTCAATGTGCAGAAAAACAATCGTCAAATTCTGCTAATATTTTATTTCTTCATTTTACCTAAGGTTTTTTTGTTTGTTTTTATAGTCAACAAAGTTTATTTTTCAATCCAAAACATTTTAGTCACTGAGTTTACTCTTTCTGGTAAGCTTATACAAATCAGTATTAAATTGTCCAAGTATATAATCTGAATATGTTTTAATTTCATGTGAGAAATTGCTTTAATGTAATGAAAGAAAATAGTTTGCCAATTCACCAGGTGATTTAATGATAACTCCATAAAAGGAAGACAAACATGCTTATTTTATTAATTTGAGTCAAGATTCATTTTTTAAATATTATTTTATTGGTACATTTTAGGTATACAATATAATGACATTTATCATTGGAAATTTGTACCTTTACATAATCTCTCTTGGTTCTTATTTTTCCCCCTTCCCCTGCCCTCCCTATTTACAAAGACTTTGTTTCCTTTTTTTCATTTTCTCATATTAAT